GGGGGGGGGGGGGAGAGAAATGAAGGATCGGTGAGAAAAAACCATTGGAAGGAGGGGGGAGAGAAAAGAAGAAAGGGGGTGAAGGAGAATATCACCGAGGGAAAGTAGATAACACATTGGCGGATTTACGCTAAATACCCATAAAAAAGTCACCCCCCCCCTTTTTAGAACTTGACGAGTGGCTCGTCTGCAAACAAGGCTACTGACACCACTGTGCATCTCTGCTCTCCGACTGATTACCCAACTGAGGTACAGATTTGAAACTTAAAGAATGTTCCTTTCATCAAAGAGACTTTTTGGCCAACCTGATAATTTTAGGGGGGCCGAAATCCTGAACAGTCCCTCGCGGGTTGCCATTTGTTAGTTTATCACCTATCTTCGTTGAAAATTGCAACCACCTGCTTCCACCAATGGAATAGCTCCGTTCTCTCTTTGTCTTTTACTTTGCCCATAAAGAGCTTGATGCAAAAACGGCTTTTTTCGCCCCCCCTCTGGAAGTTCTTCAGACTTTGTCTATTGATTACTCATACTTGAGCGCTTCTTTTCCCAAATTTTCAGACTCCCAAAAAATTTAGGGGGGAGCTAGGGGGGGTGGAAGTCACAACCTGTGAACCTCGATATCTTTTGAACAAAGAAAGATATCGAGGTCCGGTTTGGACGAAAAATCGTCTAAAATTGTATACTTTAAGATTCTAAAGGTCAACATCCCGATATCACATTTTTAAGTCAACATATGTGCTTTTTTCCAGTTTTTAGGTCTAGAAAATTTCTTTTAAACGAAAAATTTACAAAGATCTCAATTTTTTATTTGAACCAAAGCCAGTTTTTTAAATTGTTCGTCTTTTTCCGCATCCAACGAGTGGTCCATTAAGCTTGGGAACCAAACGGTTCCGGAGTTATGATCGATTGAAGTTTCCGCTCAACGCGCGCCGACCGATTTTCGCGCGCAAAAAAGTCGGATTTGACTGTTATTAGATCAGATTGAATGTTCAAACTGAGCAAAATGCTTTATTAGGGACTCTAGAGGGTCGCTGAGTTCAGAAATTACAGATACTTCCAAATAATCTACGTTTTTAAAATTACAGCTCCGCAGCGCTATTTTAGAGCCACTAAGCTCCGACTGGCCGCTCAGTGGTCCTGTCCGAAGCTGCAATTTTAAAAACGTGAATTTTTTGGAAGTATCTGTAATTTCTGAACTCAACGACCCTCTAGAGTCCCTAATAAAGCATTTTGCTCAGTTTGAACATTCAATCTGATCTAATAACAGTCAAATCCGACTTTTTTGCGCGCGAAAATCGGTCGGCGCGCGTTGAGCGGAAACTTCAATCGATCATAACTCCGGAACCGTTTGGTTCCCAAGCTTAATGGACCACTCGTTGGATGCGGAAAAAGACGAACAATTTAAAAAACTGGTTTTGGTTCAAATAAAAAATTGAGATCTTTGTAAATTTTTCGTTTAAAAGAAATTTTCTAGACCTAAAAACTGGAAAAAAGCACATATGTTGACTTAAAAATGTGATATCGGGATATTGACCTTTAGAATCTTAAAGTATGCAATTTTAGACGATTTTTCGCCCAAACCGGACCTCGATATCTTTCTTTGTTCAAGAGATATCGAGGTTCACAGGTTTGACTTCCCCCCCCCCCCAGCTCCCCCCCAAAATTTTTTGGGAGTCTGAAAATTTGGGAAAAGAAGCGCTCAAGTATGAGTAATCAATAGACAAAGTCTGAAGAACTTCCAGAGGGGGGGGGGGCGAAAAAAGCCGTTTTTGCATCAAGCTCTTTCAATAATTAGCCCGCTTCGCTTTGGGGCGGTATCCATTGACCCGTGACCCAGTGAAAATTGAAAACAGATGTATACAGAACTCACCTTTGCAGACTTTGCCCATGTAATCGACGAGACTGGACCACTCCTCGGTGTAGCCAGGAGGACAGAAGTCGACGCACTCTCTCGAGTGGAGGACGATGAGGTGCGTGCATTTGACGCAGCGAGGGCGCCCGACGACGGGTATCTCCGCGTCCGTCGAGTTCTCCACGGCTGCGGCAGGGGCCCCGCTTAGGCCCCGGGCGCCTCCTCTCATACCCCTGTTCCCTGAGCCGGAGTCGCACTTCAGGCAGCTCTTCAGTCCGCCGCAGAACGCTTCACTACCTGAAATACAAGCACGCACGTTGTCACTCCAATATTGAAAACATTCAAAGATACATTTCAAGGCTGCTTCTACCTTGTTATACAGGCCGTCCGTACCTTGCTCTTATCTCGGTTGTTTTGTGAGTCGGGGACGGCGGGGATACATAGGAAATTGACTCGAAGAAAGAACCTTCGGACACAAGGCGAATTTCAAAATAATTTAATGTATGTTTTCTCCCCCAATTATCTCGTACAACACGATTTGAACGACGAAAATTACACTAAGTAATTCCTATCCGAGTAATAAACGGTTTCCGAAAGTTAGGTAAATCGTACACTAGACGTTACCATGTCAGTCTTTGCAGTATGGAAAAAAGAAAATTTTAATATTGGCGCTTCGGCTTAGCTATTACACGTTGTTTACAAGTTGAACAACACGGCGTGGGAAAGGAGCATTGCGTATTGAGAAGCTCGCCGAAACCGTTGTGGTGCGCGATTTAATTCAAACAGACTCTTGTTATTCATTTGAGCGGTGAACAGAAAATTCAAATTTTTCGTGACCAATGCTGATAATAATGTTAACATCTTGGTTGGGAGTTAATTTCAGGAATGTTCGTTGCACGAATCGTGCTGTAAGTACGTGAAATTTTGGGGAGGAAGTATAATTCAGATGCTTAAATTCGTAGCTTGTCTAGTAGTAGTATCTGAATGTCATGGTCGCGGAGCCCCTCTGCCTTCTTACGTGGGTTAAAGGGTGCTCTAACTTCAAAAATTGAAGTATATGTCAAGAGTTTGAGATCATTCCATCGGAATCGGCAAGAGCGAACAATTTCAACGTCTATCGACACTTATCCGTACGAGGAGGGTGGNGGGGGGGGGGGGGGGGGGGGGGGGGGGAGACGACCCAAAAAACCGGAATTCTCCTTAACTTGGCAACGATGGAAAATATTCGGGTTCCACAGATAGAAGGTGTAACTGCAACTAGGAGCTATGAAGAGTCACTAGGCCAAACAACATCGTAGCACATTATCTTTCATTTTGGCACGATTTGGATTTTGGGGTGTTCGGCGAGTTCGTCGTTTTTGAAGATGGGTCGATGTCAGTAACAACACTAAGCGCTCAAATGTCTCTCTCTTTGGTCGATAAAACCACGGCTTTCTCAGTTGAACTTTTAAAGTGTTGCTTCTGACAGTCATGCCTCACCAAACACTTCAGTGCAAATATGGTTTTTCTGTTTAAAAATGGTACTGTATCGCCCAAAACCTCTGTAGGGCTCTAAACCGCTATCGCCATCGGCTACAACCGATGAAAACATGAAAAAATCTGATTTTTGTGAATGAGGATGGTTTAAGATCAATTTATTAACTAGCAGATATCAATTGAATGTAATACAGAAACATTTAGAACATTGCTGTGAAAGATTTGAGCCTAAAACGCGTTGTTGCCGAATTGATCCCCCATATTGCCCTCTAGCCGGCGACGGCCGCTTGGCGTCTGTCGTGCCACAAGCTGTTAGCTATGGCAACGCCGCGTTGCATTTTTCTCACGAGCCGGACCATCTCTAGTGATAAGGCATTTCAGTCCTTTTTCCTCTTTTGCACACGCCACCTTCGGAGATGAGTTGACCTCGACACGTGCCCCAAAGCCCAGCATCCTGGGACCCCGCCGCTCGCCCCGCTCGCGGACACGCGAAGCTTTAAAAGCCACGGCCGGCCGCCAGGCCGCTGGGGGCCAGTCTTATACTGCCTCCCCTTGGGCGACGTTTATGAGAAGGTATGATTTGGAAGGAGTTCTTTTTGATATTTATGCTATGTATCATCACTCGGTTTGTATTTCGTAGCTGTGAGCTACTTTTCTTGGTTGGAGCTTGTGCGTGTCATTTTTCTGCTATATAAAGTGTTCATTTTTCTGTATTTCAGTTTTTATATTTTTCATCAGTTTGTGCTCCCATGGAGTCCTTTTCCAGTTTTTAGTTGCTTTTCCGAGCTTTGTCGTCCTCATGTATTTCCTGCGCGAAGCGTCGGTCTTCGGATCGCTTTTGCGTGGAAATCCATGAGCATGATGTCTGCTCGAGAAAAGGAGTTCATTTTTATTTCTAGTTGCTTTTCTGAGTTTGATCATCCTTGTGTATTTCCTGCGCGAAGCGTCGGTCTTCGGATCGCTTTTGCGTGGAAATCCATGAGTATGATTTCTGCTCGGGAAAAGGGGCCGTAGTTCTCTCCGGGGATGCTATTCCCTTGCTTCCGCGATTTGCGCGCTGGGACAAGTTGGGCATATCTTTTCTAGGCTTTCCCTCTTTTGTGTTTTCCTCTCATCCTGCCTTGCATGCGCGAAGTGCTGGTCCTCAGGATCGCTTTTGCGCGGGGGAAAGCGTTTGAGTATGAGCAGGAGCACATGTGATGGGACGAGCTGGGAAGGGATCCCTGCCTGGCCACCTCGGCTGCGCGGCTGCAGGTCGCATTGGGAAGACGCAAACCTAGAGTTTGCTATAGCCATATTTTTTGCCTCTTAGGAGTTTTCTTAGTATTATATTTTTTGCGTGCCCGGGTTTTTCCTCCCACGCATTGCTGAGCTAGCTGGAAGGTTATTTTTGATAGCCCGGAGCCCGAGGCACGACAGCGTCTAGCCAACAACAATAATCACGCTTTAAAACGAAGAAAAATATTCTTTCACTGATGTCATAGGTAAAGCATGTTCCCTGCAAGATTCACTCAGAAAATTGACAGAGTTAGCGGAACATTGACAGTGAAAATCACCTATTTTCAAAAACGACGAGCTCAGCGAATATCACTGGCGCGAGGACTCGTCAAAATGAAACAAAATGTGCTACGACGTTGATAATTGGCCTGATGACTCATCATAGCTCCTAATTTCAACTCTTAGCGGTGGAACCCGGATATTTTCTACCTACAGAAAAATTCCGGGGTTTTTTGCCCCCCCCCTCGTATAGAGCCCCCTTTAAAAATGATGAATCGTAGCGAAAAAAAAATGTTTTCATGGAAGTTTGATGGTTGATGAGGTTACGGAAACATCAATTGCAGATTTTTGGAGGTCGATTACCCATAAATACATCTTTTTTCTCGAGCCCCTGTCAGTTACGGCTAAAACAGATGATCAGTTGTCCCCCGTTATCCCCTGTTACCGTCCAATTATCAGAGTACACAACTTTGTAAAGTATAATGAAAAGAAGTAAAGTAACATTCTGATCAGAACGCGCAAGACGCCGAGACTTTGAGTTTAAAATTGACACGGGAAGGGCTGCCATACTCAGCCGGGTCCCAGGGTCCGGGTCCCCCTTGGAATAAGAAAAGTGTGATTTTTTGGACATTTCCGTACAAAACTAATAGTATACAGGGTGTCTCACGAAAAAGGAGCCACCTTAAATATCTGCCGAACGCGTCGGAATTTCAAAAAACTGTAAAGACGTGTTCGTTTATATCGAGGGGGACAGCTTTCGGCGTATTTGACATTTTCCCAAACTGCGGGAGGGGCGCGGGGTGCGGGGTGCCCCAACCGTTAGTCGAACTTTTCAAATGGCACCCCTACTTTTTTAGTTCAGAAATCAATGATATGCAAAAAAAACAAGCCACGCTGTCCAAACCGAATGTAAATCGGACAATTTTTCAGTGACTGGCAGAGGTTGAGACATTTTTTCATTCTCTTCTCAAAAATTTCCCACGCCTAATGGCATTGCCGTATCAAACCAAACTCTCCGCCAAAAAAAATCTTAAACATTACACTTTTGATAAGAAAAAAGAAAAAAAAGAAAGAGAGAAAAATATGCTGTACTCAAACTCTGGAGCACGCGGAGCCCTTCTTTGCGACATTAAAATTCGTTTTACCGAACGTTTCCGGGGGGCGCTCATCGGAAGGGATTAGTAAGTTTTAAACAATAATTATTATTTTTTTTTCTGAAGCATAAGAAACCGTGTCTATGAAGAAACAGCTAAATAGAAAAGCAACGCACCGCGGAAAAATAGCTTCCTCAGAAGTATCAAGGTCCGGCTCAAATCATTGAAACCCACCCTAAAAAAGCTAATCCATTTGTTTATCTACTTAGCTGTTTCTTCATGGACACGGTTTCTTATACTTCAGAAAAAAGAACTATAATTCTTGTCTAGAACTTACTACTCCCTTCCGATGAGCGCCATTCGGAAATGATCGGTAAAACGAATTTCAATGTCGCAAAGAAGGGCTCCGAGCATGAAAAAAAGTTTCAACCTCTGCCAGTCACTGAAAAATTGTCCGATTTACATTCGGTTTGGACAGTGAGGCTTGCTTTTATGCGTATCATTGATTTCTGGAATAAAAAATTAGGGGTGCAATTTGAAAAGTTCGACTTACGGGTGGGGCATCCCTTCACCCCGCACCCCTCCCGCGGTTTGGGAAAACGTCAAATACGCCAAAAGTTGTCCCCCTTGATATAAACGAACACGTCTTTTACCGTTTTTCGAAATTCCAACGCGTTCGGCAGATATTCAAGGTGGCTCCTTTTTTGTGAGACACCCTGTATATATTCTGAAGGTTTTTGAGTACTTTCTTCCGTTAAATAGGAAATGCCCCCCCCCCCCAGTTTTGACCCCCCTCCTGCAGCCCCTATACTATGTGGGTAAAGGACTTCTTTTTCAGCACATTTCGGTATGAAACAAGTACTAAACTTCGCGGGCACAGAAAAGTACAATTTGATAAGTAAGGGAAAGGGGCCTGCATTTCTCCAGCCCCCTTCCACTTTTAAGTTTGTGTACTATTCCTGATGGGTACAAAACTTTTTCTTTGCGGTACGTTAACGCTTGCAACAGTTTTGACAATTTTGAATTTGAATTTTTGGAGGGTTGAGGTTGGGAGGAAGACTAGAGAGATGGACCTCTTTTTAGTGCCGCTGTATAACCGCTATGTTCCGACTGAGCGACGAAGAGAATTTATCCTCACTTTCTTCGTTCATCTTTCTATGGTCCAAAACCTGTTCTGCATTTCTAATTTCTCCACGTCCCCGTCGCGGCACGGTCGCGGTTGGGCCGTCC